CATCAAGTGATACCCCCATCGAGTCATACCCCCATCGAGTCATACCCCATCAAGTGATACCCTCATCAAGTGATACCCCCATCGAGTGGTACCCCATCAAGTGATACCCCATCAAGTGATACCCCATCAAGTGATACCCCATCAAGTGATACCCCATCGAGTGATACCCCATCGAGTGATACCCCATCAAGTGATACCCCATCAAGAGATACCCCATCAAGTGATACCCCATCGAGTGATACCCCCCCGCAAGTGATACCCCATCAAGTGATACCTCTATCGAGTGATATCCCCATCGAGTGATACCCCATCTAGTGATACCCCATCAAGTGATACCCCCATCGAGTGATACCCCATCGAGTGATACCCCAATCAAGTGATACCCTCATCAAGTGATACCCCCATCGAGTGATACCCCCATCAAGTGATACCCCATCGAGTGATACCCCCATCAAGTGATACCCCATCAAGTGATACCCCCATCGAGTGATACCCCATCAAGTGATACCCCATCAAGTGATACCCCATCGAGTGATACCCCAATCAAGTGATACCCCCATCGAGTGATACCCCATCGAGTGATACCCCATCGAGTGATACCCCAATCAAGTGATACCCCAATCAAGTGATACCCCCATCAAGTGATACCCCATCAAGTGATACCCCCATCGAGTACCCCATCAAGTGATACCCTCATCAAGTGATACCCCTCATTGAGTGATACCCCCATTGAGTGATACCCCCATCGAGTGATACCCCCATCGAGTGATACCCCCATCGAGTGATACCCCAATCAAGTGATACCCCCATCGAGTGATACCCCAATCAAGTGATACCCCCATCAAGTGATACCCCCATCGAGTGATACCCCTATCAAGTAATACCATCAACGCATTATCAATGGGTTTATAGTTAAAATAAAAACCGGATTAAACCAGTTGATCTATCAGTATACCATGATGCCATTCTCTTCCCGTTGCTTTGCACCTGATTTAAAAATATCCCTGGGAAAGTTCCCTTAACATTCATAACATAATATTTCTCACGGCCACACAGTCCAGGTCATTGCCCCAGATCAACGGCGGACACCCAAGTACCTGATGACCTTAAATAACATCAAATCCAACCAGATAAAGTAGGTCACGCAGCTGTTAAGGTCACCAAAGGTCATTTAATTAATCAGGCCTTTCTTCATCAAGACAAAATACAAATCTCTTTACATCACTCAGTGAAGATGCATGCATGCAACCTCGCTCAGTGTATTTTAAAAGAAGACAGAGTTTGTAATTTATGTAAATCAGCAATCGGGGGTGAATACCATTTTTTACTTGTTTGTCCAAATTGTCATCATCAAAGTAAACAATACTTACCAGGTTATTACTGAAATAATCCAACAGTTGCAAAATTTGTTGAAAGTCTTCTTAAATGTAATTATCCCCCACTATTATTTAACCTTGCCAAACATTTGAAAATATGTCTCAATATATATGTGTGTTTGTGTTTATAGGTTGTATATGAAGCTTGAAGCTATATGAAGCAAGTAATTAATACAATAATGAGGACGTTGATCACTGTCTTTAGAGTCAAAGTGATATGTTGGAATAATTTTAATAATTTAATTCATGACAGATAAAGTGATAACGACATACTCACCTTTATTCAAACAAATACGCTGGTGTCTCCAGAATATCCTCATGAGACTCCTCATTCATATGTTTGGTTCCATACATTGCATCGAAAAGCATCAGTGAAGTGGTATTCAAATAATCTATAGAATGTCATGGAAACATTCATCTTCATGTATTCCTCGATTTCTTCATCCTCACGACAATCGTAACTGTCCAAAGGGAATTGGAATATTGTGTTAATATTTCCACTGGCAAAACCTCAATGTTCATATGTACATTATATTTATATACAATAGTTCGAAGATTTCTCCAAATTGTGCTAAAGATTTGATTACATGAAGGATTTCGTTCTCTTCTGTCCAATTATAGTTGACATCAACAAATTCACAAATTTTAACCAGTATTTCTTGGTCATCCAAGTTTACTGAACATTTATTTGAACACATTTTAATTTCCTGAATTTCATTAAGATCTGCTGTAGTCCTTGTTTAACACATGTACTATCCTGAATTTTTATCTTCTTAGGTGATATGACCACACCTTTAGTGCATGGCAAAAATGAATAGTTATGAAAGAAAATATAGAGACTCGGGAATTGTTTTATAAGAGTGGAAGTGGAGTTGGCCTCATTTTTAACTTGTGTATAAAAATAAAAACTTCACTGTGTTACAACCCTTATACACATCTGTTGAACATTATCTGGAAAGTAAGGTGATGGAAAACAAAGGAGTGTTATGTACTTGGATGAAGAAGACGTAATTTACTTGTGAGCGAACACGCCTTGTTCCTGCAGATGGAAATAATTCTATTTGAAGCTCGCAGGTTTTGTAACTTTTGTTATATATTGGATTACACTTTCTTAGTTAAGTACAGATTCTAGTACTTTTGTCGGGTTGAGTCCCATCCGGGATTACCACAATTACCACAATGGAAATATTTTTGAAAACAATAACAAACCCTAACTTCCTCATTCAGGAAGCACCACAGGAGACTTGAATCGGTGTTACCATGTACAAACATATACACGTCGCAACACGCATTGTTTTGTAATATGTTGTTGTAAAAGATGTTTCAGGTTGACTGTCGTGTTTGTTCCATGCATCTGTATCTCATCACGTATAGGGCGAGGCATAAACATAAGTCATATGGTTTGTTTGCCGTTTCCCTTTACTTTTCATGGAAAAATATGATTAAACCACAAAACACCACTGTGCGATCTCTATAGCGTGTAATGAAATCTATAACCAGATGGTTTAATATACTTCACGAACTGGGTGTGTGTTATATCTTACTCTACATTATAGTACATGGGCGGATCCAGGAATTTTGAAAGGGGTTGGGGGGTGGTGGTGGTGGTGTCAGGGGTTCGAACCCCCCTCTGGATCCGCAAATCATAGTAGGTATGTTGTGAAAACCAATATCTATGTAAATGTCAGTAACCCTCCTTGCCGCTGTTTGCAGTCCCCAGTGTTAAAAAGCTCAGTTCAGTTAACAGTTCATCTGGATATGATTTGCTCAGCGTGTGTCACGGCGGTACACTGTCTGTCGTACACAATACATATATATGCTTACCTGGGGGGCTCTAAGCTTATCCATAATGGTTAAAATGAACCTATTGCATTTTGTTAAAAATTGTGGATGATTGCCGGACTGATTAGGGTTGGCATGAAATCGCCTTGAAATACGGAAATTGTATTTTCGAGTGAATGATTTAGAGATTTACTTTTGGACTTTTATCAGGACATAGTTCTTATGAACATGTCCAAATTTGAAATAGAAAATTATTAGAGAGGAAAAGAGAGATGAAAACATGGTGTTATGGGGAAGTATTTCGTCGTACATTTGTATGGTAGAGGACATCTTCTCGGAGGCAAGAGAGATGCTATTTCTGGACGATTAAATAATTACAGGTAAATATGGGCTCCCGTTGTAACAGTAATTCAATGTGGTGATCAACAGTAACGGATGGTGATGATTTGTGGGGAAAACCTGATACTTTTTCTTCCGGAAGGTTCCTCTGTGTGGTGATTCTGAATTGGATTTGGGTGAAACGTTGGAGCAAGCTAGGTAACTATAATACGCTTGTTCATGTACAGTTCATTGTTTGTATCTAAACTCTATCTTCACTATATGCCTTATATCTGAGTATCAAATATGGAGGAATAACTCGTGGGAGGAGGGACAGATAGTTTAAAGTGTTTGTTTTTTTGGAAAATGTAAATTTACATTTTTGTTGATAAACAACGCCACATTAGATATTTGAGAAACCTATATTTTTTTAAGATGACATACTATGAAAGGAGAAGGAACACCGGCATAGAGTCAGGCACTCCGACTGTAGACATGACTCGGTGAAAACAGGATGCACAGTTGGCTATTATTTTGATAAACACGTGACCACGTAGTACAATTTCCTTATAGGGAATTCATTTACTACGCTTTGTTTTCGCGTCATGAAGGGTCCAATTTTAAGATAGCACTAGCGCACTGATATTTTAATAAATGGCCACCAACAGATTTAGCACATGGAGGCAGAAGGTAAAGGCCTACATGTGGGTAACAGCTCCGTCGAGCTCTATGACTCACACTACACATTTAAAAATAGGTCAGCCCTACGGGGGCGTGCTGCGAGGCCGACATTTGTACCAAATGGTGTCCTCCCAAAACGCAGAACTCCCAAAACGCAGAACAATAATAATAACAATGTGTCCATTTATATAGCGCCAAACTCGACACTAGCTAACGATCAACATCACAGCACATTATTACCCAAGATAACCCAAGCGGCCTGTTAGGCGCTAGAAGGTTATAGTCACATAACTTTTCCACTGGGTACCCATTTTCCTGCTAGGTGAACAGAGGCAATGGTGAGACCACATGTGTCACATGTGAACCATTAAAACAACGAAATTTATGGTTGGTTGCACCTAGTTTCTTTATACTGTACCCTAGCTTGTACCTTAATTTGTATGATCTGAGAAATGACAATAGGGACTGCATTTATTCAGAATATTCTGTGTTCGACAAAACAAGGACATTTCATTGAAAAATATGATATATAGATTAGATAAGTTAATTAAATTAAAGAACATCAGCAACAAATTATCCACCCAGAAACCAGATGTACATCCTCCTCAGTTACTTTTAAATATCACAGCAATATATAAATATATATAATTATTTTATTATGACTAGAGTTCATACACACTCACACAGCTTGCATGACTAAAGTTCTTAGTTCTTCTTCATGAGAGGTCCAACTGCAACAAGGAACTGCAACCTCGTGTTCTGGCCACTGTTATACTGTTCCTTGCGCCTCTTAGCCGATTCTCCTTCTTCCCTACTATTCTGGAAGGCGGAGCTGCAGTCTGTCTATCTATCTGTCTGAGTCAGCTTGGTTCTCTCGCTGATTTCCACTTCCTGGATCAAACAGATGAGCCGGAACAGGTTTGTATGATTGTGCTGTAGCATCTTTGCCAGTCTGGAATAAAAGCCCTCTAAGTTGTTCTTTGCCCTTGGGTCGACTGTCTGGTGGTGGTTCCATTTTTTTGGAGAGAATCTCGCGTCATCATCTACCCATGGAGAGATAATGTAACTGAAGTGTCTCTTGGCTTCATCTGCGCAGAAGGCCGGTAGTTTGTCATCGTCCCCATCGTCCAACTGCAGGAACCTTCTTCCATCGTGTGTAGTAAAGATTCTATCATTATGCTAGATAAATAAATAATTGATGAACTTGATAAACTTGTTTTATAATACCTGCTGCATGGGCGTTGTCTCTTCTCTGGCTCTTTCTCGCAAAGTACTTACAAATTTAGAGCCCTCTCATCACTGGGTTGGCGGTTTTGATCTGATGTGTTTTTGACGAAATCTCCGACAGTTGTGCACTTTCCAAGCAGGTTCTATTCACGCATCTCCAGTAGATATCCTCTCCTTTCTCTTGTTCTTGGCGTAAAGATATCCATCAAGAAGAGCTTGGGGAGCCCCTTTCTGTGATAAAACATAGTCTACTTTCCTTAACTCAGCCATAATCGAAAGTTATTGGACATACTTAGATTTTTAAACTTTATATAGTTGATTAAAGAAAACATGAGACACCGGAGAAGGGAGCATTGGGCTCGGTGAGTGGGCAAGTCCATTATCCAATAAGGTGTGATCAGCATAAACTTCTAGCCCAGACTTAATTTTCATTCTGCATATTGGGAGTTCTGCGTTGTGGGAGTGAACCTACCAAACGGACATGCAGAGAGGTGCGCCAGGCCGACTTGCCGGTCTACTGTCCTTTGAAGCAATTAACGCCAGTTATCATTGTTTTACAGTATAGGGTCGTATGTTTTATGCATGTGCCAGAAGTACTGAAGAAATGCATCATATATTTACACTTGTTATAAGAATAAGTAAACTTTGAGTTTACAGTTGCATGTTTCAGAGCAATAAGAAGAGATATTTCTGGCAATCGTGGGGATGTATGTTGAAGACCTGTCCTGCAAGACTGGCAACAGCAAACAACATCTTGACCGAGCAAGGAACAGGTGATAACCGTGACCACTAACTGGAAAGAAGGACGACTGGCAACACAGTAAACGACTTCTTGAGGTGAGGTGAAATTGGGTTTAACGTCGTACTTGACAATATTTCGCTCATATGACGACGTGCATGCGTGTGTATGTGTATGTGCGCCTGCTTGTACTAGCCCAGGCTGAAGCTGGTTTTATAGTGCTAGCCCACTGAGATACCATGCCGCAGTGAAGCCTGAATACCCAACTCGGACACATTATACTGACTCCAAGCCGACCAGTCCTTGTTGCACCTATTAATGCCGAGCGCCAGGCAGGGACCAACAAGTACCATATTTTAACGTCTGTTGGTATGACGCGGTCGGGGATCGAACTCGCGACCTTCCGCTCCCCGGGCGGTAAACGACTTCTTGACAGAGCAAGGAGCAGGTGATAACCGTGACCACTAACTGGAAAGAAGGACGACTGGCAACAGTAAACGACATCTTGACCGAGCAAGGAGCAGGTGATAACCGTGAACACTAACTGGATAGGAGGACGACTGGCAACAGTAAACAACATCTTGACTGAGCAAGGAGCAGGTGATAACCGTGACCACTAACTGGATAAAAGGACGACTGGCAACAGTAAACGACATCTTGACAGAGCAAGGAGCAGGTGATAACCGTGACCACTAACTGGATAGGAGGACGACTGGCAACAGTAAACGACATCTTGACAGAGCAAGGAGCAGGTGATAACCGTGACCACTAACTGGATAGGAGGACGACTGGCACGACTCTTGGCAACAGTGATAACCGTGACCACTAACATAGAAGGACGACTGACAACAGTAAACGACATCTCGACCGAGCAAAGCAACTAACTGAGCAGGTGATAACCGTGACCACTAACTGGATAGGAGGACGACTGGCAACAGTGGCAACAGTAAACGACATCTTGACCGAGCAAGGAGCAGGTGATAACCGTGACCACTAACAGGATAGAAGGACGACTGGCAACAGTAAACGACATCTTGACCGAAAGCAAGGAGCAGGTGATAACCGTGACCACTAACTGGATAGAAGGACGACTGGCAACAGTAAACGACATCTCTGACATCTTGACCAGTAAACGACATCTTGACCGCAAGGCAGCAGGTGATAACCGTGACCACTAACTGGATAGAAGGACGACTGGCAACAGTAAACGACATCTTGACCGAGCAAGGAGCAGGTGATAACCGTGACCACTAACTGGATAGGAGGACGACTGGCAACAGTAAACGACATCTTGACAGAGCAAGGAGCAGGTGATAACCGTGACCACTAACAGGATAGAAGGACGACTGGCAACAGTAAACGACATCTTGACTGACTGGCAACAAGGAGCAGGTGATAACCGTGACCACTAACTGGATAGAAGGACGACTGGCAACAGTAAACGACATCTTGACAGAGCAAGGAGCAGGTGATAACCGTGACCACTAACTGGATAGAAGGACGACTGGCAACAGTAAACGACATCTTGACTGACAGAGCAAGGATAAGCAGGTGATAACTGGCAACAGTGACCACTAACTGGATAGAAGGACGACTGGCAACAGTAAACGACATCTTGACTGAGCAAGGAGCAGGTGATAACCGTGAACACTAACTGGATAGAAGGACGACTGGCAACAGTAAACGACATCTCGACAGAGAGCAAGGAGCAGGTGATAACCGTGAAGGACCACTAACTGGATAGAAGGACGACTGGCAACAGTAAACGACACATCTTGACCGAGCAAAGGAGCAGGTGATAACCGTGACCACTAACTGGATAGAAGGACGACTGGCAACAGTAAACGACATCTTGACAGAGCAAGGAGCAGGTGATAACCGTGACCACTAACTGGATAGAAGGACGACTGGCAACAGTTAACGACATCTTGACCGAGCAAGGAGCAGGTGATAACCGTGACCACTAACTGGATAGAAGGACGACTGGCAACAGTAAATGACATCTTGACCGACCAAGGAGCAGGTGATAACCGTGACCACTAACTGGATAGAAGGACGACTGGCAACAGTAAACGACATCTTGACCGAGCAAGGAGCAGGTGATAACCGTGACCACTAACTGGATAGGAGGACGACTGGCAACAGTAAACGACATCTTGACAGAGCAAGGAGCAGGTGATAACCGTGACCACTAACTGGATAGGAGGACGACTGGCAACAGTAAACGACATCTTGACAGAGCAAGGAGCAGGTGATAACCGTGACCACTAACTGGATAGAAGGACGACTGGCAACAGTAAACGACATCTTGACATCTTGACAGAGCAAGGAGCAGGTGATAACCGTGACCACTAACTGGATAGAAGGACGACTGGCAACAGTAAACGACATCTTGACCGAGCAAGGAGCAGGTGATAACCGTGACCACTAACTGGATAGAAGGACGACTGGCAACAGTAAACGACATCTCGACAGAGCAAGGAGCAGGTGATAACCGTGACCACTAACTGGATAGAAGGACGACTGGCAACAGTAAACGACATCTCGACAGAGCAAGGAGCAGGTGATAACCGTGACCACTAACTGGATAGAAGGACGACTGGCAACAGTTAACGACATCTTGACCGAGCAAGGAGCAGGTGATAACCGTGACCACTAACTGGATAGAAGGACGACTGGCAACAGTAAACGACATCTTGACCGAGCAAGGAGCAGGTGATAACCGTGACCACTAACTGGATAGAAGGACGACTGGCAACAGTAAACGACATCTTGACCGAGCAATGGAGCAGGTGATAACCGTGACCACTAACTGGATAGAAGGACGACTGGCAACAGTAAACGACATCTTGACCGAGCAATGAGCAGGTGATAACCGTGACCACTAACTGGATAGAAGGACGACTGGCAACAGTAAACGACATCTTGACCGAGCAAGGAGCAGGTGATAACCGTGACCACTAACTGGATAGAAGGACGACTGGCAACAGTAAACGACATCTTGACCGAGCAAGGAGCAGGTGATAACCGTGACCACTAACTGGATAGAAGGACGACTGGCAACAGTAAACTGACATCTTGACCGAAGGAGACAAGGAGCAGGTGATAACCGTGACCACTAACTGGATAGAAGGACGACTGGCAACAGTAAACGACATCTTGACCGAGCAAGGAGCAGGTGATAACCGTGACCACTAACTGGATAGAAGGACGACTGGCAACAGTAAATGACGACATCTTGACCTGAGCAAGGAGCAGGTGATAACCGTCAGTTGTGTTCTTGAAACGGGAGCAGAAAGACAATGGAACCCACCTTCACCAGTACCTCAATGGAGGGAAGAGACACCCAATTCTTGACCCTCAAGGAGAGACTTCAGACTAACCGCATCACTACAATGCAGTTTGTGAACGAACAAGTGTAGGAAATATACATGTTTGTGTGATATTGTAAATAAACGCATCATCTTGCCAGTCGTAAATAACTTTTTTTACATGTCCCCCAGATTTAATCACCCACTGCCATTGTTTCGCTAATCCTTTTTAAATTGGATGGTAAAACGTTGCGCCTGGCACTTGCTAGAAGGGGCTGAAACCGACAAATTAAACCAATTGTCAGCCTGGCAGTACCTCCACCACCCCTTGCTAATGTGCATGTTCGGACAATACCGTCCGGTGCACAGGGGTTCGAATCACTGTTTAGACAATAATTCTTAAAAATAAAAATCAAGACTTTTGCAATCGTATATTGTTTCTATTTGTTATGATTAACCTATATTTCAAATTTGAACGAGATCGGTGAAGATATGAATTTTATAGAAAATTCTACCACTACACTCATTAAATTAAATATACACAAGGGGTGACACTCGCGACTACATTGCAATCAGCATTCATTTGGCGTTTTCCCTTCCCTGGAGTAATTATTTAATCAGCGATAGGGTTCTACGTGTACACTAGATCACTGAGGTGTTAGAATGCCTCAGTGCAGAGAGGTAACATTGAACATGTGCAGAGAAACGTCTATAGATGTTGGGGCCAGTACATCGACGACAGTGGGTGTTACGACTCATGCACGACTCAATTGTCCCCGTGCATAATAAAGTGGCTTAGTGCATGTTGTTTATAAAGGCAAAATGAAGTTGAGTAAGAAAATACCGATTGCCAGCTTGACGAAGCCTACAGATGAAGCCAAGATGTATATACACTGCATGGGTGTTCTGGAACATGCTACTTTGGCCCCAATGCCCTTACTGTCTTTTAAAGTCGATTTTATTAGCATTTCAGTGTTATGTCTTTATAGTGAATGTTGCAGTCAGTGAATCTTCTTTATTGCCATTATTATCCACTTTCTGTTGACAAACAAAAGAACCACTCACAAAACAACACCCCGATTTTCATCAGTCCGGTTACGAATTTGTCATGACTCTAACCAGAGACCATATACTAGACTATGGTCTCTGCTCTAACAATTTTGGTGCCTGTGTACTGCCAAAAGTGCTCAATGTACAGATCTTCCAAAATATCTTCCAAAAGAGAGAAAGTAAATACCAAACTTCAACTTCTAAACGAAAAGCACACTGAAAACCACTATTAAAAAACCCGACCATAAATCCAAAGATATTGACAGAGCAATAACCAAAGTCCAAACAGGTCCTACAAAATTAAATTCCTATCTACATTACAAATAATACCTGCAATGGTACTCCACTGGACACACACTCCTTCCAAGCCCACTAAATATCACCCAAACCTTCAAAGACTTAGGAATATTTCTCATCAAAAACAAAACATAAAAACAAAGAGAACAAGTAAGACCCAACCATCCTGTAGTTCATCATCCAACCACTTCCGTCAAATTTCCAATTTCAAAATTTATACAAATTTAATCATGCATCCCTAATATTGTTCATCAAATTCAACTGAAACTTGGGTCCCCTGTTACAGGCATGGTATGCGTGTGTGTCTTCTTGCACACACGTGTGACATGGGACTCGGGACTCACATGTGCTGCATGTTTTCAACAGTGTAAGGGGAACCAACTTTGCATACATACTTGGTGTTCTGTACAACCCACCTTGTATACATACTTGGTGTTCTGTACAACCAACCTTGTATACATACTTGGTGTTCTGCACAACCAACCTTGTATACATACTTGGTGTTCTGTACAACCAACCTTGCATACATACTTGGTGTTCTGTACAACCAACCTTCTATATATACTTGGTGTTCTGTACAACCCACCTTGTATACATACTTGGTGTTCTGCACAACCAACCTTGTATACATACTTGGTGTTCTGCACAATCAACCTTGTATACATACTTGGTGTTCTGTACAACTGATGACTGATTATTTAGCAACTTTAATTTATTGTTTATGTAAAACATTTCTTGTCACTATATGGCTGAAATATTGCCGAGGTGATGTTAAATTCTAACTCACTCACTCACTCTGTACAACTCACCTTGTCTACATACTTGGTGTTTTGGACAACTAACCTTCTATACATACTTGGTGTTCTGCACAACCAACCTTGTCTACATACTTGGTGTTCTGTACAACTAACCTTGTATACATACTTGGTGTTCTGTACAACTAACCTTGTATACATACTTGGTGTTCTGCACAACCAACCTTGTCTACATACTTGGTGTTCTGTACAACTAACCTTGTATACATACTTGGTGTTCTGTACAACTAACCTTACATACATACTTGGTGTTCTGCACAACCAACCTTGCCTACATACTTGGTGTTCTTTACAACCAACCTTGTATACATACTTGGTGTTTTGTACAACTAACCTTGCATACATACTTGGTGTTCTGTACACTGACTGAGTTTGGTTTTACGCCGCTTTTAGCAATATGGTGTTCTGTACAACTGACCTTGTATACATACTTGGTGTTCTGTACAAGTGATCTTGTCTAAATAGGTGGTGTTCTTTACAACCAACCTTGTATACATACTTGGTGTTTTGTACAACTAACCTTGCATACATACTTGGAGTTCTGTACAACTGACTTTGTATACATATTTGGTGTTCTGCACAACTGACCTTGTCTACATACTTGGTGTTCTGTACAACCAACCTTGTCTACATACTTGGTGTTCTGTACAACCAGCCTTGTATACATACTTGGTGTTCTGTACAACCAACCTTGTATACATACTTGGTGTTCTGCAAAACTGACCTTGTCTACATAATTGGTGTTCTGTACAACCAACCTTGTATACATACTTGGTGTTCTGTACAGCAAACCTTGTATACATACTTGGTGTTCTTTACAACCAACCTTCTATATATACTTGGTGTTCTGTACAACCAACCTTGTATACATACTTGGTGTTCTGTACAGCCAACCTTGTCTACATACTTGGTGTTCTTTACAACCAACCTTGTATACATACTTGGTGTTCTGCACGACCAACCTTGCCTATATACTTGGTGTTCTGTACAACCAACCTTGTATACATACTTGGTCTTCTGTACAACCAACCTTGCCTACATCCTTGGTGTTCTGTACAACCAACCTTGTATACATACTTGGTGTTCTGTATAACCAACCTTGCCTACATACTTGGTGTTCTGCACAATCAACCTTGTCTACATACTTGGTGTTCTGTACAACCAACCTTGTCTACATACTTGGTCTTCTGTACAACCAACCTTCTATATATACTTGGTGTTCTGTACAACCAACCTTGTATACATACTTGGTGTTGTGCACAACCAACCTTGTATACATACTTGGTGTTCTGCACAATCAACCTTGTCTACATACTTGGTCTTCTGTACAACTGATGACTGATTATTTAGCAACTTTAATTAATTGTTTATGTAAAACATTTCTCGTCACTATATGGCTGAAATATTGCCGAGGTGATGTTAACTTCTAACTCACTCACTCACTATGTACAACTCACCTTGTTTACATACTTGGTGTTTTGTACAACTAACCTTGTATACATACTTGGTGTTCTGCACAACCAACCTTGTCTACATACTTGGTGTTCTGTACAATTAACCTTACATACATACTTGGTGTTCTGTACAACCAACCTTGCCTACATACTTGGTGTTCTTTACAACCAACCTTGTATACATAGTTGTTGTTTTGTACAACTAACCTTCCATACATACTTGGTGTTCTGTACAACTGACCTGGTATACATACTTGGTGTTCTGTACAAGAGATCTTGTCTACATAGGTGCTGTTCTTTACAACCAACCTTGTATACATACTTGGTGTTTTGTACAACTAACCTTGCATACATACTTGGTGTTCTGTACAACCAACCTTGTATACATACTTGGTGTTCTGTACAACCAGCCTTGTATACATACTTGGTGTTCTGTACAACTTACCTTGTCTACATACATGCTGTTCTGTACAACCAACCTTGTCTACATATACTGTGTTTTGTACAACCAACCTTGCATACATACTTGGTGTTCTTTACAACCAACCTTGTATACATACTTGGTGTTCTGTACAACCAACCTTGCATACATACTTGGTGTTCTGTACAACCAACCTTGTATACATACTTGGTCTTCTGTACAACCAACCTTGCCTACATCCTTGGTGTTCTGTACAACCAACCTTGTATACATACTTGGTGTTCTGTATAACCAACCTTGCCTACATACTTGGTGTTCTGCACAATCAACCTTGTATACATACTTGGTGTTCTGTACAACCAACCTTGTCTACATACTTGGTGTGTACAACCAACCTTCTACATACCAACCTTGTCTACATACTTGGTGTTCTGTACAACCAACCTTGTATACATACTTGGTGTTCTGTACAACTAACCTTGTATACATACTTGGTGTTCTACAACCAACCTTGTATACATATTTGGTGTTCTGCACAACCAACCTTGTATACATACTTGTGTTTCTGCACAATCAACCTTGTCTACATACTTGGTGTTCTGTACAACTGATGACTGATTATTTAGCAACTTTAATTAATTGTTTATGTAAAACATTTCTCGTCACTATATGGCTGAAATATTGCCGAGGTGATGTTAACTTCTAACTCACTTCACTCACTATGTACAACTCACCTTGTTTACATACTTGGTGTTTTGTACAACTAACCTTGTATACATACTTGGTGTTCTGCACAACCAACCTTGTGTTCTGTACATACTTGGTGTTCTGTACAATTAACCTTACATACATACTTGGTGTTCTGTACAACCAACCTTGCCTACATACTTGGTGTTCTTTACAACCAACCTTGTATACATAGTTGTTGTTTTGTACAACTAACCTTGCATACATACTTGGTGTTCTGTACAACTGACCTTGTATACATACTTGGTGTTCTGTACAAGAGATCTTGTCTACATAGGTGGTGTTCTTTACAACCAACCTTGTATACATACTTGGTGTTTTGTACAACTAACCTTGCATACATACTTGGTGTTCTGTACAACTGACCTTGTATACATACTTGGTGTTCTGCACAACTGACCTTGTCTACATACTTGGTGTTCTGTACAACCAACCTTGCATACATACTTGGTGTTCTGTACAACCAGCCTTGTATACATACTTGGTGTTCTGTACAACTTACCTTGTCTACATACATGCTGTTCTGTACAACCAACCTTGTCTACATATACTGTGTTTTGTACAACCAACCTTGCATACATACTTGGTGTTCTTTACAACCAACCTTGTATACATACTTGGTGTTCTGTACAACCAACCTTGCATACATACTTGGTGTTCTGTACAACCACCCTTGTATACATACTTGGTGTCCTGCACAACTGACCTTGTCTACATAATTGGTGTTCTGTACAACCAACCTTGTATACATACTTGGTGTTCTGTACAGCAAACCTTGTATACATACTTGGTGTTCTGTACAACCAACCTTGTCTACATACTTGGTGTTCTTTACAACCAACCTTCTAATATACTTGGTGTTCTGTACAACCAACTTTGCCTACATACTTGGTGTTCTGTACAACCAACCTTGTCTACATACTTGGTGTTCTTTACAACCAACCTTGTATACATACTTGGTGTTCTGCACGACCAACCTTGCCTTCATACTTGGTGTTCTGTACAACCAACCTTGTATACATACTTGGTGTTCTGTACAACCAACCTTGCATACATACTTGGTGTTCTCTACAACCAACCTTGTATACATACTTGGTGTTCTGTACAACCAAACTTGCCTACATACTTGGTGTTCTTTACAACCAACCTTGTATGCATACTAGGTGTTCTGTACAACCAACCTTGTCAACATACTTGGTGTTCTGTAAAACCAACCTTCCATACATACTTGGTGTTCTTTACAACCAACTTTGTATACATACTTGCTGTTTTGTACAACCAACCTTGTATACATACTTGGTGTTCTTTACAACCAACCTTGTATATACATACTTGGTGTTCTGTACAAACAACCTTGTTTACATACTTGGTGTTCTGTACAACTAACCTTGCATACATACTTGGTGTTCTGTACAACCAACCTTGTATACATACTTGGTGTTCTTTACAACCAACCTTGTCTACATAATTCGTGTTCTGTACAACCAACCTTGTATACATACTTGGTGTTCTGTACAACCAACCTTGTATACATACTTGGTGTTCTGTACAACCAACCTTGTATACATACTTGGTGTTCTGTACAACCAACCTTGTATACATACTTGGTGTTCTGTACAACCAACCTTGTATATATACTTGGTGTTCTGTACAACCAACCTTGTATACATACTTGGTGTTCTGTACAACCAACCTTGCATACATACTTGGTGTTCTGTACAACCAACCTTGTATACATACTTGGTGTTCTGTACAACCAACCTTGTATACATACTTGGTGTTCTGTACAACCAACCTTGCATACATACTTGGTGTTCTGTACAACCAACCTTGTATACATACTTGGTGTTCTGTACAACCAACCTTGCTTAAATACTTGCTGTTCTTTACAACCAACCTTGTATGTATACTAGGTGTTCTGTACAACCAACCATGTCAACATACTTGGTGTTCTGTAAAACCAACCTTCCATACATACTTGGTGTTCTTTACAACCAACTTTGTATACATACTTGCTGTTTTGGTACTGTGTTTGTGTACAACCAACCTTGTATACATACTTGGTGTTCTGTACAACCAACCTTGTATACATACTTGGTGTTCTGTACAACCAACCTTGTTTACATACTTGGTGTTCTGTACAACCAACCTTGCATACATACTTGGTGTTCTGTACAACCAACCTTGTATACATACTTGGTGTTCTGCACAACCAACCTTGTCTACATACTTGGTGTTCTGTACAACCAACCTTGTATACATAGGTGGTGTTCTGTACAACCAACCTTGTATACATACTTGGTGTTCTCCACAACCAATCTTGTATACATACTTGGTGTTCTGTACATCCAACCTTGCCTACATACTTGGTGTTCTGCACAACCAACCTAGTATACATACTTGGTGTTCTGCACAATCAACCATGTATACATACTCGGTGTTCTGTACAACTAACCTTGTATACATACTTGGTGTTCTGTACAACTGACCTTGTCTACATCCTTGGTGTTCTGTACAAGTGATCTTGTCTACATAGGTGGTGTTCTGTACAAGTGATCTTTTCTACATAAGTGGTGTTCTACATAACTGACCTTGTCTACATCCTTGGTGTTCTGTACAAGTGACCTTGTCTACATCCTTGGTGTTCTGTACAAGTGACCTTGTCTACATCCTTGGTGTTCTGTGGAAGTGATCTTGTCTAGATATGTGGTGTTCTGGACAAGTGACCTTGTCTACATAGGTGGTGTTCTACATAACTGACCTTGTCTACATCCTTGGTGTTCTGTACAAGTGACCTTATCTACATCCTTGGTGTTCTGTACAAGTGACCTTGTCTACATACTTGGTGTTCTGTACAAGTGACCTTGTCTACACAGGTGGTGTTCTGTACTACTGACCTTGTCTACACAGGTGGTGTTCTGTACAACTAACCTTGTCTACATCCTTGGTGTTCTGTAGAAATGACCTTGTCTACATCCTTGGTGTTCTGTGGAAGTGATCTTGTCTACATATGTGGTGTTCTGTACAAGTTACCTTGTCTACATAGGTGGTGTTCCACATAACTGACCTTGTCTACATCCTTGGTGTTCTGTACAAGTGACCTTATCTACATCCTTGGTGTTCTGTACAAGTGACCTTGTCTACATCCTTGGTGTTCTGTACAACTAACCTTGTATACATACTTGGTGTTCTGTACAGCTGACCTTGTCTACATACTTGGTGTTCTGTACAACCAACCTTGTCTACATACACTGTGTTCTGTACAACCAACTTTGCATACATACTTGGTGTTCTGCACCACTAACCTTGTCTACATATTTGGTGTTCTGTACAACCAACCTTGTATACATACTTGGTGTTCTGTACAACCAACCTTGTCAACAAAGTTAGTGTTATGTACAACCAACCTTGTATACATACTTGGTGTTCTGCACAACCAACTTTGTATACATACTTGGTGTTCTGTACAACCAACCTTTCCTACATACTTGGTGTTCTGTACAACTGACCTTCTATATATACTTGGTGTTTTGTACAACTGACCTTCTATACATACTTGGTGTTCTGTACAACCAACCTTGCCTATGCATACTTTGGTGTTCTGTACAACCAACCTTGTCTACATACTTGGTGTTCTGTACAACCAACCTTGTGTACATACTTGGTGTTCTGTACAACCAACCTTGTCTACATATACTTGGTGTTCTGTACAACCAACCTTGTGTACATACTTGGTGTTCTGTACAACCAACCTTGTATACATACTTGGTGTTCTGTACAACCAACCTTGTCTACATACTTGGTGTTCTGTACAACCAACCTTGTCTACATACTTGGTGTTCTGTACAACTAACCTTGTATACATACTTGGTGTTCTGTACAAATGACCTTGTCTACATACTTGGTGTTCTGTACAACCAACCTTGTCTACATACTTGGTGTTCTGTACAAACAACTTTGTATACATACTTGGTGTTCTGTACAAGTGACCTTGTCTACATAGGTGGTGTTCTGTAGAACAAACCTTATATGCATACTTGGTGTTCTGTACAACTGACCTTGTATACATCCTTGGTGTTCTGTACAAGTGATCTTGTCTACATAGGGGGTGTTCTGTACAAGTGACCTTATCTACATCATTGGTGTTCTGTACAAGTGACCTTGTCTACATAATTGGTGTTCTGTACAACCAACCTTGTCTACATCCTTGGTGTTCTGTACAAGTGACCTTGTCTACATAGGTGGTGTTCTACATAACTGACCTTGTCTACATCCTTGGTGTTCTGTACAAATGACCTTGTCTACATCCTTGGTGTTCTGTACAAGTGACCTTGTCTACATAGGTGGTGTTCTGTACAAGTGACCTTGTCTACATCCTTGGTGTTCTGTACAACTGACCTTGTATACATACTTGGTGTTCTGTACAAGTGACCTTGTCTACATAGGTGGTGTTCTGTACAAGTTACCTTGTCTACATAGGTGGTATTCTGTACAACAAACCTTATATGCATACTTGGTGTTCTGTACAACTGACCTTGTATACATACTTGGTGTTCTTTACAACCAACCTTGTATACATACTTGGTGTTCTGTACAACCAACCTTGTATATACACTTGGTGTTTTGTACAACAAACCTTGTATGCATACTTGGTGTTCTGTACAACTGACCTTGTATACATACTTGGTGTTCTTTACAACCAACCTTGTATACATACTTGGTGTTCTGTACAGCTGACCTTGTATACATACTTGGTGTTCTGTACAACTCAACCTTGTATACATACTTGGTGTTCTGTACAACCAACCTTGTATACATACTTGGTGTTCTGCACAACCAACCTAGTATACATACTTGGTGTTCTGCACAATCAACCATGTATACATACTTGGTGCTCTGTACAACAAACCTTGTATACTTACTTGGTGTTCTGTACAACTGACCTTGTATACATCCTTGGTGTTCAGTACAACTAACCTTGTATACATACTTGGTGTTCTGGACAAGTGACCTTGTCTACATAGGTGGTGTTCTACATAACTGACCTTGTCTACATCCTTGGTGTTCTGTACAACTGACCTTGTCTACATCCTGGGTGTTCTGTACAACTGACCTTGTCTACATAGGTGGTGTTCTGTACAAGTGACCTTGTCTACATCCTTGGTATTCTGTACAACTAACCTTGTATACATACTTGGTGTTCTGTACAGCTGACCTTGTCTACATACTTGGTGTTCTGTACAACCAACCTTGTCTCGATACACTGTGTTCTGTACAACCAACCTTGTATACATACTTGGTGTTCTCTAGAACCAACCTTGCCTACATACTTTGTGTTCTGAACAACCAACCTTGTATACATACTTGGTGTTCTGCACAATCAACATTGTAAACATACTTGGTGTTCTGTACAACTAACCTTGTATACATACTTGGTGTTCTGTACAACTGACCTTGTATACATCCTTGGTGTTCTGTACAAGTGATCTTGTCTACATAGGCGGTGTTCTGTACAAGTGACCTTATCTACATCATTGGTGTTCTGTACAAGTGACCTTGTCTACATCCTTGGTGTTCTGTACAAGTGATCTTGTCTACATAGGTGGTGTTCTCGACAAGTGATCTTGTCTACATAGGTGGTGTTCTACATAACTGACCTTGTCTACATAATTGGTGTTCTGTACAAGTGGCCTTGTCTACATCCTTGGTGTTCTGTACAAGTGATCTTGTCTACATAGGTGGTGTTCTGTACAAGTGACCTTGTCTACATCCTTGGTGTTCTGTACAACTAACCTTGTATACATACTTGGTGTTCTGTACAAGTGACCTTGTCTACATAGGTGGTGTTCTGTAGAACAAACCTTATATGCATACTTGGTGTTCTGTACAACTGACCTTGTATACATCCTTGGTGTTCTGTACAAGTGATCTTGTCTACATAGGCGGTGTTCTGTACAAGTGACCTTATCTACATAGGCGGTGTTCTGTACAAGTGACCTTGTCTACATAATTGGTGTTCTGTACAACCAACCTTGTCTACATCCTTGGTGTTCTGTACAAGTGACCTTGTCTACATAGGCGGTGTTCTACATAACTGACCTTGTCTACATCCTTGGTGTTCTGTACAAATGACCTTGTCTACATCCTTGGTGTTCTGTACAAGTGACCTTGTCTACATAGGTGGTGTTCTGTACAAGTGACCTTGTCTACATCCTTGGTGTTCTGTACAAGTGATCTTGTCTACATAGGTGGTGTTCTGGACAAGTGATCTTGTATACATAGGTGGTGTTCTGTACAACTGACCTTGTCTACATAGGTGGTATTCTGTACAACAAACCTTATATGCATACTTGGTGTTCTGTACAACTGACCTTGTATACATCCTTGGTGTTCTGTACAAGTGATCTTGTCTACATAGGTGGTGTTCTGGACAAGTGATCTTGTCTACATAGGTGGTGTTCTACATAACTGACCTTGTCTACATCCTTGGTGTTCTGTACAAGTGACCTTGTCTACATCCTTGGTGTTCTGTACAAGTGATCTTGTCTACATAGGTGGTGTTCTGGACAAGTGATCTTGTCTACATAGGTGGTGTTCTACATAACTGACCTTGTCTACATACTTGGTGTTCTGTACAAGTGACCTTGTCTACATCCTTGGTGTTCTGTACAAGTGACCTTGTCTACATTCTTGGTGTTCTGTACAAGTGACCTTGTCTACATAGGTGGTGTTCTGTACAAGTTACCTTGTCTACATAGGTGGTATTCTGTACAACAAACCTTATATGCATACTTGGCGTTCTGTACAACTGACCTTGTATACATCCTTGGTGTTCTGTACAAGTGATCTTGTCTACATAGGTGGTGTTCTCGACAAGTGATCTTGTCTACATAGGTGGTGTTCTACATAACTGACCTTGTCTACATACTTGGTGTTCTGTACAAGTGACCTTGTCTACATCCTTGGTGTTCTGTACAAGTGACCTTGTCTACATCCTTGGTGTTCTGTACAACTAACCTTGTATACATACTTGGTGTTCTGTACAAGTGACCGTGTCTACATCCTTGGTGTTCTGTACAAGTGACCTTGTCTACATAGGTGGTGTTCTGTACAAGTGACCTTGTCTACATCCTTGTTCTGGACAACTGACCTTGTCTACATAGGTGGTGTTCTGCAGACCAATGACTGCTGTATTAGAGATGTCAGGGATACGGAAGTATGTGTGTAGGAGACAGGTGAAGTCAAAGTCTTTGCTGTCTGAAACAGGAAGACAGGTCATCAATATTCCTGCCATCTTCACACGCTTAAAATTGTAAATTAACAGTCTTAGATCAAGGCATGGTAGAAACCAGTCATAGGCAGTTTAATATGCTGGCAAAGTTTCATGGAGAAAATAATGAATGGTTTGGCACTGGAATGAAACCCCACTATCAACTGAATTAGTAACCTATGAAAAAAGGCAACAATAATTATAATATATATATATATTCCAGAACATTGACCGGTACTATTTCAGCACAGTCCTGATGCTTATACAAAGTTTCCTGAAGAAAATGCTCTTGAAAGAAATGCTACACCCAGTTGAGCAAATACACAGAAATATAGGGGATAGAACTTTGTAAATCAGTAATTGACATATGACTGTATTCCCAGTTGATGACATAATCACTACATAACAATGCATTTAAAATGTCTCATACGTGACAGAGGTGTCGTGTTATACTCACTGATACTGTTTGCTGATAAGACATAGGTGTCGTGGCATTCTCACCCATACTGTCTGCTGCCACGGACACAGATGGGGTGGTATACTCACCCATACTGTCTGCTGCCACGACACAGATGGAGCGACATACTCACCCATACTGTCTGCTGCCAGGACACAGATGGAGCGACATACTCATCCATACTGTTTGCTGCCAGGACACAGATGGAGTTGTATACTCACCCATACTGTTTGCTACCAGGACACAGATGGAGTGGTATACTCACCCATACTGTTTGCTGCCAGGACACAGATGGAGTGGTATACTGACCGATATTGTTTGCTGCCAGGGCACAGGTGGAGTGGTATACTCACCGATACTGCTTACATCCAGGGAACAGGTATTGCAGTATACTCACCCACATTGTTCACAGCCATATTTAAAGTGAGTGTCTTCTCCATCACCTGGACAGTGTAGACAACCTTAAACCTGAAACAGGTGATCATTAAACACAAGTTGGCTATAAGGAGATCTGATTGCTTATGTGTCATTTCAAACTGTCATTGTTTTTAAGTAATCATTTGTATGAAGACCAACCTAAAAGTATGAGAACTGTAGTTTCACCCACGTAGATGGTAAACAGACCCAGTGAATAGTTGTCCTCACATACACACCATCTAATGCAAAGATTCTTTAATTGATCTGCTGACACTATGGTTGAGAAAAACATAAACAAAGTTGTAGCACTTCACATTGTGTGAATGGATTCATGTATGTAAATCTCACCTGAAGTCCCACACGGCTCGGGTGGCCTCATCGTCTTGAAGGACGAACTCAGCTACAACATTGCCTGAACTATCCTGAAAGCAACGTCTTCAATACTCAATACATCAACACTGGTCATGTACGGGTTCATGGTAACATTTATGAAGCCTTTGTTTGTGTGTAAAGTTATGGAAGCCTGTGTTTGTACAGTTAAGGAAGCTTGTGTTTGTGTCTAAAGTTATGGAAGCCTGTGTTTGTGTGTAAAGTTATGGAAGCCTGTGTTTGTGTGTAAAGTTATGGAAGCCTGTTTGTAAAGTTAAGGAAGCCTGTGTTTGTGTGTAAAGTTATGGAAGCGTGTGTTTGTAAAGTTAAGGAAGCCTATGTTTTAAGCCTGTGTTTGTGTGTAAAGTTATGGAAGCCTGTGTTTGTAAAGTTAAGGAAGCCAGTGTTTGTTTGTAAAGATATGGAAGACTGTGTTTGTGTGTAAAGTTATGGAAGCCTGTGTTTGTGTGTAAAGATATGGAAGACTGTGTTTGTGTGTAAAGTTAAGGCCTGTTTGTAAAGTTAAGGAAGCCAGTGTTGTGTGTAAAGTTAAGGAAGCCAGTGTTTGTGTGTAAAGTTATGGAAGCTTGTGTTTGTGTGTACCGTTATTTAAGGCTGCGTTTGTTTGTAAAGTTAAGGCCTGTGTTTGTAAAGTTAAGGAAGCCAGTGTTTGTGTGTAAAGTTATCGAAGACTGTGTTTGTGTGTAAAGTTATGCAAGCCTATGTTTGTGTGTAAAATGCTAAAATCATGTACATTGCCTGAGCCATCCTATTACCCTAGCTGTTGTGGCACAGCCATGGTTCTGTGTCTCACTTGTCTATAGTCAACGGTGTAACATGTCAACCAATATAGACCCTTAAAGACACTTAATAGATGCTGCCTGCACTGATATATAAGTGAGGCTCTTTTCAATGAGGTCTCTGAGTGAGTGAGTGTGTGTGGAGATAAATTGACACTCAGGATACCCCAAGCAAACAGGTTACATCTCATGTAACATTAATTTAGGTGAGCTGCATGTAACCCCTCTAAACAACATACAAGTAAAGAGCAAACCTTTCTAGGTGGTGTTTCTGTCTTCCATCTCTTTGTCCTTGCAAAGCCATGCTGTGGGCCAAGATCCCAGGGACCAAAATTAGCTACAAAAACAACAGTTTATTATTACTTTTATCCATTACAACACTAGAGGTAACAACACTAGAAGTAACCACAGTAGGGGAAACAAAAAAGGAAACAACATTTGAGTCATCCTCGATGATCTGTGGGTCAGCCCGATGATGTTCTTACCTCCCTTGGCTGTCTTTTTATCCAATCAGGTGTCTACACTGGGAAGTTGAGCGTACCAATCACAACTCACTTTCGTTTCTTTTATCTAACTGATTAAACTTGGCAACATAATTGTTGCAGAGGTACTCTGAAAGAGGTAGATAGAGTTCTTGCATATATTTTTAAGGTTTCAAACCTGTCAATTTGTCTATATGATTTCCCACAAAATCTGAGTCGCACTGCGAACAAACCTTTGCAGCTGCGACCGCTATCTTTGTTGACACTGGCAAGCTCGGGTGTAACCGCAGCTTAGCTGATTGGCTATTGTGAGAATGCAGAGCCAGCAAAGAGAGGTAATAAAATTATCGGGCCGAGCCATAGATGCATCCAGGGTACTAGTGGAGATTTATCGGAACGTATACCCTGGAGACTATAGAGGATGTACTAGAGTTAACAACACAAGAGGTAAAAACACAAGAGGTAACAACACAAGAGTTAGCAACAGCTGAGGTAAGCTGAGGGCCTTGGTTACAACTTTTAAACTGTCAATTATTAATTACTATTCTGTGAATCATATATCAAAATTCAATGATTCATGCAGCTTGGAATGATTGATACCTAGACAAGTATGTTGTTATTTCCTAGTTTGTTATAAGTTAATATATGATGAGACATCATGTGTTGCAAATTTGGGATTATTCAGAACAAGTTTAACAATATGTTTTGTCAGCAACCCCCAAAATGGCTAACTGAGTATGCTGTGAAATAACATTAAATGTGTTGTCACACTTGTACTTGTCTGTGAATATCATGTCAAATCTGTGGCAGATACTACATGTTTTGTGCCATGGGATCCGCATAATTTAGAAGAATGTTAGACTTTCAGAAATTACTTATCATCGGGATGAGAACTAGTTTCCAGAAGATTTCCTGGGAAAGGATTTGTGTATGTAACTTTTTATATCTTTATGTTTTCAGGCTTTGAATGAAGTTTATTTTCTTACTATGAAGATAAGAACAGTACAAACATATGACAAAACATCATGCTTGTCATAAACTTGCTCATAGTACCACTTTTCCTACTCAGTTTTATTGTGCTGCTAAGGGTGACGATGATTTCAAGGGGGTTGTCACTCATTTTGTTCAGGGTAGGGTGGGGGGTGGGGGCATAAATTTTGTACACATAAACTGTGTGTGTTGGGTCAGCAATTTTGTACATTAAAATATTTTACAATTCTGCTTAAAAATTATGGGAAGAGATGTGTGTGTCATTGATTTTGTACATGACATGGGGGTTGGGGGGTTGGTGTTTCCTACTTTGTACATAAATTAATTTTAGGGGGGTCATTCACATTGTACATGCTTCTATGTAAAAATAATACCCTCACCCCATCCCTAGCCTTAAATTATGAACGGTCCCTAAGTTTAGTTAGCAGTAACAAATAGTTGCATGTATGAAAGGAAAAGAGCTACAAGCCACAAATCTGGACTTGTCTGATAATTTTCACGCTAATGTTTCAAAGTTTTCTGTAAACTTAAAGATTTAATTGTTTCCAGTGGCTCACAAAGGGACTGTATCCTGCTCTGGACACTAGCCAACTCTGATTTCCCTCACGACCAAATATATTTTGTTGTTGTTGTTTAATGACTCTGCCAACGATATTCCAGTTAAATAAATGGAACATGCATATCACTGAAATTTGCAGGTACTGAATCCGTCCGTACTCAAAACCTCTACATACTGAAGACTTTTATTATAATAAAACACAAAATCTAACATGATACAGTCACTTTTTCAGAAGTGTCTACTTTTTACAAAAATATGTTTAGAAATGAATACTTACGGAAGACTACTGGTATTCCACCTCTGATGGCCTTTTTGTTATCAAACACAGCCTTCTCACTGACGGAAAAGAATTACATACCATTTCATGTAGATAAACTTCTTCACTGATACATATACAATTAATCGACAAGTAAAGTAAGATCAATGTTAAGTTTATGTACAGAGTACAATATATTACTACTTCAACAGTCAGGGTGCAAGGCCAATATTGATAAATGTCCAGCAACCCTGTAGTCACTCACATGGTCTAAGGGAGGTAACTCTTCTGTAACCAGAAGTTCAGGATGTTATAACCTTCTATATGGGTTACTTTGCTGGACCACTCCTCTGGTCTGGGGATGATGCAGCTCGAGATTGATATTGAAAGATATATCCGTTGTCTCATTCAAGTACACTTATTCTTAAATATAACATACACAATGGTCCTAAGATGTTCTTGCCTTACTTTTGAATCAGAATACCTGGAAGAACTAAATTGATAGTTTTCCCTTGTTTATAAATTGTGTATTCAGTTTTTAATTTCAAATACGCTGGTTATACTTCCTAACAATGGTAGGTCCTTGATAATCCAAAATTTCTCAGTTTTTTTAATATCCATTTGAAGCATTGCCATTGTGCATGTTGTCTGACAATAATAATGAATATACTACCATAGTCTGCCAAACAATATATCAGTGTTTTCCCACTGCTATCATCGCCCAGAATACTTCGGCTTGGGTATAATAACACTGGTAAACAACATCTTGGGTTGGTCAACGACATAGATCAAGGAGATAATGTTCATCAGCTAAACATCAGTTGATTAAATGCCAGAGAAGATAATTTAAGCAAACCTGCAAAAATGGACCAAATGAAATTAACATTTCACATTGCTATTGAGTGGTGACAAATTAATGCATAAAGTAATCAACAACAGCATTCTGAACATATTTCAGAAGCAGCTATGAAGACTCAGCTCTGTGTAATGTCAGTGTAAATTAAGATATTATGTTATCACAATAGTTTATGTAAGATTTTACGGATGACACAATTTTCATATGAATATAATCATTATAATTCTTCTCATGGACAATACATTGGATCATCATTCATTTTTGCCAGTCAGTACACCTGATCAGATGCTGCATAGTAAATATGTTCCAAACAACTGTACAGGATTGGAATTATCATGTTTCAGAGCAGGGTCTAGATTTTCGAAGCTCTCTTAGAGCTTAGATAGTCGTAAGTTAATGATAATATATGGCACTTATGACTATCGTAGCTGTAAGAAAGCTTCGAAAATCTAGGCCCTGGACTGGTCGTCTCCAACTTTCCTGTGACTTACCTCAAAAACAAGACTTCTTGTTCATGGCACTTCCAGGACAAAATGGTGGCTCCTGTACAAGACAATACAATAGCCATTATGTTTTACACACTGTATGTGAAAACACTGTACCACCATAGCATGAAACAGTGAGTATACCAAAGTAGTGGACTGAGGGGCAGAGTGACTTAGGCCAACTTCAGCTTCAGTAGACCTGTTGGCTATATAGTTACTGGTTGGAATAAAGTCTTTAATGGAAACATGTGATGCCTTTTGACTATGGAACTAGTGCACCGATTCCTATGTAAATCATCCCCACGGGTCAGTATAGACTTAGACTAACCACTAGTCTCTGAAATGAACATATTTTACAGAAAAAAACAGTTCACCATAAAAATAAATAAAAAAAGTTCATAGTAAAAAAAATTAAAATATAACGCAAAAAAGCCCTGAGACCAGAGACCATATATTAGATGGTCTCTGCTGAGACTTTCTTCATTTTCCTGAAACTGCCACATAACCCAGACTTGCATGGGCTTTCTTGGATATGTTAGTTTCAGGGTCTGTGTGGCAGACTAGTATAATAGACTGTGACATGTCCAGTTTGAGTTAGCTATAAGATGTCAGTGAACGCTATGTATCTTAGCTAAGTTTGAGAGTGTCATTGACATTGTGCATGTCACTGCACGTGTTTTCCAACGTTTTCAGTTAATCGTCAGTGATAAGCAGAGTCAGCCACGATGCTTACCATGCAAGTGCACGAGTACAGATGTTCCATTACCGCGGTCAAGAAATACAACATCACTATTTGGGAAACAGGAAGGAGATTGTTTTGCCATCTTTCCACACACTCTGGACGGCGCAGCTATGACTTAGCATAACATCGCTCCCTGACCCTGATTTGCATATCATGTGACCGGACGACTCACAATGCACAAATTTGTTGATCGAGGTTATTCACGACGATCCGGCCCAGTGATGCCTTAGCATAACATAGCTTGCTCTATGTCGGGCTTCGATGACGGAGCAGTACAACCTATGTAAGCAAAGGATCGCAAATCGAAACAATGTTTCACGTGGAACTCTAGGTAGGGGAGTGGTCACTCCGTGTAATTTGCATATCACGTGACCGAAGCATGGGCTACAACCTTGCATGTAAACAAACGCGCGTGTAGAAGAAAATGGATTGCTTTCAATATCCGATATAGATAACATTTTGCACATGTATGGTGACTTTGTTATGTTAAAACCTCATATGCATCAGAGGGAAGCTCCTGAGTATATTATTACGCAAGAACGCAACTGTATATAGATCTAATTTGTCTGTCTAAGATTATAGTACGAGGAATCTTTGATCTTGCACCTGCTTGGTCCGCTTCTAAGATTGAAGAAAGATCATGATTCAGGATCTGTCTTGGTGATATCTCCCCTGTATATCTCACAAATTCAGGATCTGTCTTGGTGATATCTCCCCTGTATATCTCACAAATTCAGGATCTGTCTTGGTGATATCTCCCCTGTATATCTCACAAATTCAGGATCTGTCTTGGTGATATCTCCCCTGTATATCTCACAAATTCAGGATCTGTCTTGGTGATATCTCCCCTGTATATCTCACAAATGGATCAGGTGACCCGTATACGAAAATGTGGTGCATGCAGACTGAGTAGGAGTGGGAATGGAACCACCCTAGCTTCGAACAGTGTGCGAAATAGTTTCCAAATTTTGCTAGCCAGTCGGGCTAGCTATGCCTGAAAGCTACTAGCCCACAGAATAATTCACTAGCCCGAAATTTGAATGTAGAAACTAAGTAAAATGTTACAAAAAGATAAAATATCATCATTTATCCGGCCATAATCTTGCATGAATTTAAAGTGTGTTATAATTTAACAAATCGGAAAGATAGATATATTTAAAAAATGAACCCATGAAAATTCACTAGATAGTCGGGCCAGTGACTGTGGAAATTTACTGGCCCGACTGGACTTTTACTAGCCACGAGCTAGCGGGCCAATGGCTATTTCACACACCGCCTTCAACATGATTATACGTTATTGTAAGTGCAAAATAAACATATACATTACTTCGAAAAAAGAGTTTATAGGTATTAAAGAAAATCATGGCAGCACAGAGAGAACTCCTTTGTCCTGAGAGTTTATTAAATGGCCTCTGAGACTCTCGTGATAACGGTTGTAAATGAACTGTGCACCCCCTCCTTTCTCAACAAGTTGTATCCGTCCCTGGTATATCGCTGTATATCTGGCCAAGCCATCGTCAAAATGTCTATAAATAGTTCTGGTGAAAACCCATCGATATAAGAATAGATCAAAGCGGTTTTCCGTATCTGTATTGTTCAAATTACGCACATCGAAAAGAAACCAATTGGCGTTAACATTATTTACACGCAAGGCATGTCAAAATCATGACATAGTCACAGCTTCATCAACGAGTTCCTAATAGCTTAACTGTGTTGCCCTGTCATCATACAATTATAATAAGTATTTGGTATAATATCTTAAATTCGTAATTAATTTGTCAAATGTAGACATATATTTTCTAATGTTTGAAGAGGGCAAATAATTATAAACCTATTGAAAAAATAATGAAGTGTAAAGCTATTTTATAATGTAATGGAAAATATGTAATACGTTTTATGTATGTAGGTGAATGATGAATTGTCATTTGTTTATTCTAGGAATGTGAGACTGATGCATCACATGCAGGCATAGAATCTGGACTGTATGATGTCATCTTGTGCCATCCAGACGTCTTGTTTTCAACATCACAATGAGATACTTTGATGAGTGTCACACGGTAGAAGAATAGTAAATATACTGTTATTTATTTTAGGATGGAGAACTGTAGCCTCCAATTATAGGACTTTTGAATATATTGTAGGTTAAGGAGGGTGTTCAGATTGCAAAGTCAAATCTACTTGTGCACCTTCAAGACTGTGGTTGGTAATTGTAGTTCGGTTTGGAAAATACGTCTGTATGTTCTTTGAGTGTATAAAATACACAATTTGTTTTTTTTTTCGTTGTCAAGTTTCTTTTGGACGTTAGTTGATTACATTCATTTTTACTTTTTTAAATAATACCTCGTATTATTTGAACTATACAGCCTATTTATATTTGTTACAGGTCAGAAAGACTTCAGAAAAACATTTGGTCAGATCAACACCCTGCTCAGTGCCCACCTTCCCATCTAACCCAACCATTGCATTTAGCACCCTACCACGTGGCGGCGCGTGGTCCTCTGCTCAAAGCTCAGGTCACAAATCGGTGAAGTTAAGCAGCGTCGAGCTCGGAGAGTCCTTGGATGGGTGACCGTGTTTGGCAGCTTGACTCCTGAGAGTTTCTAGGACTTGAGTCCTGCCACACAACGAAGCACATGTGACACATGTCACCTTAGGCAAGTGAGTTTGTTCAAAATTGTCTCTGTTCACCCAGCAGGAAAATGGGTACCCGGTGGAAAAAGTCATATGACTATAACCTAACAGTTATCCGGGGTAATAATGTGCTGTGCCTTGATTGTTAGCGCTTTGAGCATACCTAGTGTGGAGTTAAATGGACACATTATTATTATTAATGTGAAGAAACCCAAACTAATCACGGCAAACCCCCGATAAACCGAATATCTTCTTATTTTATAAGAAGAAAATATCCATTTATGGCATTATTACATGTGTAGAATCTGTTCATGTTCCCATGGTAGACGAATTGTATACTCTCCCCAAAAAGAAACGCATATAGGAATTTCAACTGTATTTTTATGTTTATTTTGAAACACCTTGTAAGCTTTATGAGTCAATGAAATATAGCGAAATTGCACACTGGGAATGCAGATTTATCCGTCTTTGGCACCAACTCGAGGAAAGTCAGTTTGAGTGTCACATGGAGACGTGTGGTGGCACTGAAGTCAATACATCGTGTGACCACCGTGGGCATCCAGAACTGCACGGCATCGCCTCGGCATCGAACGAATAAGTCTCAGAATCTCGTGTTGCCCAATCGCAGCCCACTCTGCCTGTAGTGCCTGTGCGAGTTGCTGAAGTGTCTGGTGCTGAGGGTTACGGCGTCGCACCCGTCTGTCCAGGGCATCCCACATATGTTCGATCGGTTTTATGTCCGGTGATCTTGAGGGCCAGGGGAGCACATTGATGTTGTAGTTCTGGAAGAAGTCTCTAGTGTCACGTGCTGTGTGGGGCCTGGCATTGTCCTGTTGAAACAACTCCCTCTGGCGATCAATGATTGGAAGGAGGTGTGGGCGTAGGATTTCGTCACAGTACCGTTGAGCTGTCAGGTTGCCCTGGATCATCACCAAATCACTTCTCCTACGGCAGGTGATCGCTCCCCACATCATAACACTGTCCCGGCCGAATCTGTCCACCAAGCGACCGCAAGCGTCGGCGAAACGTTCACGTCGACGTCTGTACAACCGCATTCTTCCATCGTGTCGTTCCAATAGAATTCGTGATTCATCACTGAACCAGATTCTACGCCAATTCGGTAGGTTCCAGGCCTGAACGTTGGTGCACCATTGAACTCGATGTCGACGATGTTGTTGTCGAAGCACAGGGCCAAAATAAGGTCTTCTGGCACGTAAACCAGCCTCTCTCAACCTGTCCCTGACGGTCTGTACAGAAAGCCTCCTCAATCCGGGTATTTGTCGAGCGGTACTGGTCGCCGTAGCTGTTCGATGACGCAGGTGATGTACCCGGATGTAGCGATCCTGCGCTGCAGTGGTCGCTCGAGGTCGCCCACTACGAGAGGCATCTGCTACCGCATTCTGCCGGCGATATCTCTCCCAGAGCCGTGAAATGGTGCTTTGGTGAACATTCATGCGTCGGGCAACTGCACGTTGAGACTGGCCAGCTTCAAGCACACCAATGGCGATATGACGGTTGGCTTCACTTAGACGTGGCATTTTGCGTTCGTCAACAATATTCCAAATACAGTGAATAATCGATAGACAGCGATCAACCTTTTATACCCATCATTGAGACTATCTGATCCCCAACTTTCACGTGCATTGCATGTGAATTGTGTATTCTGTGACACTACACGCCGAAATTGAAAATCATGCTGTTAAATACGGGTATTTTACGGATGGTGCGTTTTGTTGTGATGTTTCAAAACATAAACACCATAGGACTCATAAACAGAGCAAAACCTTTTGTAAAATGAACACGTTTTAATTCATTGCTATAGTTTGGCATGATATGCATGTGGACCCGGTTTTTAGTAAATATCTCTTCATCCAATGACCCAATCGATCTCAAACTGTGTAAGTGGATGTTTTGTCAGACAACCTAATCACATTGTAAATCACCGATTTTATGCATTTGTATTAAAGAATCTGTCTATGTTACTGTCAACAAAATAAACAGCAGAACGCCGACCGCTTGCAGAGGGAGGGAGCCAATGACCTGTAACAGCGGCAGTGTTGGGTCATAAAGGTAAATGCACGTGCAGTTCATGATAGTTACCTGTGCACTGCACAGTGATAGACCGTTTGGATCATTCACATTGACTTCTTCTAGCTGTCATCATGAAAGCTTATTCAGATGATGCTAAACGTTTAATTAGAAATGTGTTGAAATTTTTTTAAAAAAGAGAGCAAACGTAGCAAACCAATTTATAAGGTGTCGGATTACATGAAACGTACAACTTTTGCTCTTGGCATGGAAAAGAACATCGTGCTAAAAATTGTGAAAAATAAACCAACAACCAATAAACAAAACCTTGTACAAAAAGGTAGGCATCCAAAGTTAGATTCTTTTGGGGGCGGTGGGGTAGCCTAGTGGTTAAAGCGTTGGCTCGTCACGCCGAAGACCCGGGTTCGAATCCCCACATGGGCACAATGTGTGAAGCCCATTTCTGGTGTCCCCCGCCGTGATGTTGCTGGAATATTGCTAAAAGCGGCGTAAAACCAAACTCAGTCAGTCAGTCAGTAGATTCTTTTGACATCAGGGTCATCAGAGATGTCATTCGCCGGTTATTTGCTATGTAACTGTCAACAAAATAAACAGCAGAACGCCGACTGCTTGCAGAGGGAGGGAGCCAATGACCTGTAACAGCGGCAGTGTTGGGTCAATGTGGGTCAGAAGTCAATGTGAATGATCCAAACGGTCTATCATTGTGCAGTGCACAGGTAACTATCATGAACTGCACGTGCATTTACCTTTATGACCCAACACTGCCGCTGTTACAGGTCATTGGCTCCCTCCCTCTGCAAGCAGTCGGCGTTCTGCTGTTTATTTTGTTGACAGTTACATAGACAGATTCTTTAATACAAATGCATAAAATCGGTGATTTACAATGTGATTAGGTTGTCTGACAAAACATCCACTTACACAGTTTGAGATCGATTGGGTCATTGGATGAAGAGATATTTACAAAAAACCGGGTCCACATGCATTTCATGCCAAACTATAATCTCGTACGTCACACGAGTGTCGTATCGCGTTGACCTGTGTCGTAACGACTTGACCTGAGATTCTAACGATTTGATTGGATAACCGATGACCTCTCAATAGGTCGCATTCTGACGTAACTATTTTTTCATTCATAACAAACCTCGTGACCTTCCTATGTTTTCTGACCTCGCTTTCGCTCGGTCAGATACCATAGGAAGGACACTCGTTTCGTATAATTAGTATGTAATGAGACCGAGTGTAGTATTCTCTATTTAGTATGCATAGGCGGATCCAGAGGGGGTCGGGTGTATGTGTACATGGCCAAATCATATAGATAATATGGTACTAAGTACGTGAAGTGATCAGCTGCTTTTGAACATTTAAATACGGTCTGTACTGTAAAACGTTACAACTTATATATATATTTATCTTTTTTACCGGTATTCGACATCTGTGATCAGACGTTGGATAACTGGTTAGCATGGTTATTGGAAAGGCTACCTTTCGACGCACTGAGAACAATGTGAGCCAGTGACGAGTTTCTGTACTATGAAATACCCTTATCCACAAGACGGCTGTCTCATAAATTAAAAACCTTTTACAAAATGGTTATAAAGCTGACCCCTGAATATCTATGTAATCGTGTTCCCTCTTATGTCTTAGCAGGCACTTTTCACCATTATGAACATCTCCAAAGCTACAGATTGTAAATGATACGACAGTTAAATACTACAAATCACTTTTACCTGATACAGTGCATATGTGGAATGAATTAATGGTTTCACTAAACGCATAACGACAAATGAAAATCTTCAAACATTTGGCTTAAAAAAACCCATAACAGCCGCTTCCGTCACAGGTTATGATTCAATAGCGTAAATGTACACACATATCAGACATATTCAAGAATCTACAACATGCTCATGTGGATGCTATTTTGAGGATCCTAGACATTACTTTTATTTATGTCGTTACTATTGCAGTCTTCGTAATAATATGTACTGTTTGAAAAAAGGATGTGACTTAGATTCGGTATTATATAACAACTCTACTGATATCAACCTTGTTATTATGCAAACTGTTCATTTGTGTGTTAAATTTAAACATTTAATATTAAAAAAGTTGTCAACAAGTACAGTTTCATAATTGTCAGCATGTGTGATATGCTGGTACATAGACAAACCTGTCTACACGCGGATGCATGTGAATATTATATACATTGTGTTCATGTGTCCTTTTGATAATGTACTGTATATTTACGTGTGAGGTGCATATTTACATCTTAATACGTGCACTAGACGGTGCCGTTATCCGCATTTATAAATTCCACACTTATTAATTGTTAAATGTCTTAATTTGTAGGAAGAGATGTTTAGATAAGCTCTGCCTTTTCACCAATCCAATTATTTTCGGGAAATAAAAAAGGATGCATAAGGTTAAAGTCTGCTGAGAGCATGGACAAGGATATACTCTGTTGAGTGCATGCATGGGTGAAGATATAGTCTGCCGGATGCATGGATAAGGATTTACTCTGCTGAGTGCATGATAAGGATATACTGTGCTGAGTGCTTGGGTGAAGATATACTCTGCTGAGTGCATGGATAAGGATATACTCTGCTGAGTGCATGCATGGGTGAAGATATAGTCTGCCGAATGCATGGATAAGGATTTACTCTGCTGAGTGCATGGATAAGGATATACTGTGCTGAGTGCATGGGTGAAGATAGACTATGCTGAGTGCATGGGTGAAGATAGACTATGCTGAGTGCATGGATAAGGATATACTCTGCTGCGTGCATGGATAAGGATTTACTCTGCTGAGTGCCACTCGTGAACATATCCACTTTGTAAGACCACTAGATGAAATATACATGTTATTTGACAACATTAACAAAATTTTCTATTTATTATATTTTGATCATTGTTTATAAATCATCAAGACATCGAGTAAGTCTGCATTTTATTACGTAACCCAACTACAGTTTAGCCATTGAGTTCCAGGCAAAAGTAATATTCTACTCAGTGAAATAACATGTTATTCTACTCAGTGAAAATACCAGTTTTATTTTCACCAAATTTTTAAAACTACGTGCAATTCTATTGCAAAGAAAGACACTTCCTCGTCCACTATTGTCTCTCTGAAGTTGTTTTCTCGTCTGTGAGCAGGTCTTTATAAAACATTTTATTTGTTGAATTCATATAATTACCATAGCTGGTTAGAGCGTCCGCCCGGAGAGTGGAAGGTCGTGGGTTCGATCCCCGACCGCGTCATACCAAAAGACGTTAAAATATGGTACTTGTTGGTCCCTGCCTGGCGCTCGGCATTAATGGGTGCAACAAGGACTGGTCGGCTCGGAGTCAGTATAATGTGTCTGAGTGGGGTATTCATGCTTCACTGCGGCATGGTATCTCAGTGGGCTAGCACTATAAAACCAGCTTCAGTCTGGGCTAGTACAAGCAGCCGCACATACACATACACACGCATGCACGTCGTCATATGAGCGAAATATTCTCAAGTACGACGTAAAACCCAATTTCACCTCACCTCACCCTTGTGACAGTTATTTGCGGCCGTTTTGACTCATATTTATAACCAAAACCGCATCCTAGACCCGCTCCTCCGTTCTAGATACGAATTCCTTTTTGTAAAACATTAAAATTTACCTTGGACTAAGTTTATTTTACTTATTGTATGTACATGCTTGAAATGATACTCCTTATGTTGATATACGTTTAGATACGAACATATATATTGACTCAATGCAATTATTTGAAAATTCCTTGTTCGTTTGAAGATTGCCGGTCATCATTTTAGACACTTCAAAGTTGTCAAAATGGCTGCCTTTGGAAGACATGCGGTGTCAGCTTCACGATGTTTACTCAAACTTCGCCCTATTTCTGTGTCAGGTAATAACAGTTCATTGAAACCGCGTTTAAACCATATTCTAAAAAATTGCCGACTACGTTATTTTTCAGGTCGTGCATTATTTTTGGAACACAGAAAAATCATCAGTTGCGTCTCCACGTGCTCCCGGTCATACAGAATGAGACAGTTTATGTAGACACACAGTAAAACCTTGACAGTATTCACGAAAATGCTATAGTGTTACGTTATTTGCGTGGTTCATCTAGTCACTTGATTAGCCTTTTTGACTGATGATATTTATTGTCATTTTATGACGTAATTTGTGTAGATATACCCTATATATCTTCAATACAACCCTTGACCTTCATCGGGTCGAGGATAACCATAGATCGACGTATAACACGACATTCGTCTCAATCGAACTATTATACCCCAAAAGAGCTATTTTTATTACGCTGATCGGCATTTAGTAGACTGAAGGTTGAGATAGTTTTAGAAAAACTATTTCAGAGATGACGGAAGTGGCTGCTACTAGAAAGCAAACACCATTCATTACAGAACTGTAACCTAAATTCGTGGATAACCTTGATTCGTGGATCGCGGAAATTATCATGCTAGCTCGTAAATTAAAGGTCACATGCAACGTAAAACATAACTTTGCAGATTCTGATACCTTTCGGTATGGACTTACCTAAACAAATCATCAAAAATGCAAATTCAACTTATAAAGTTAAAAAATAATGCGATGAAAAAACCCGCGCGAAATCAGAGTTCAAACGATTCACTAACTGGTTTCAACAGCTGGGCTACGCTCATAGCATGTGCGCAGTGAAATAGGTTCGCCCAGCTTGGAAGCGGGCTGTCCGGTGAATACTCGGTGAAGGCTTTGGTGTGAGCTATTTTCCTAATGTTTTGTTGATACCTCACAGGCGCGAGCTTTTTATATGTTATGGCAGTAAATAAACTGTTTATATAATTTCATTTGTCTATTTCACCACACGTTCTTCTTACCGAGTCACTTTCTCAGTTCGATACTTAAAAGCATGCAATGTCATTATTTAGCGTTGACAGAATTTCTAACTGTGATATAGATATGGTGTTGTCACAGACAAAACTCAATGTCTTGTTTTATTGACACCTGTGTGTCTGCCTGCCTGTCTGCTAATGACAATATTCAATACACAGCTGCTATCACTGACCACATGCAATTTGAACTTAACACCGATAAGGCTATACACCATAAACAAAATGCATTGATTTATGGCCCGAGTTCGGTCTCTGTCACATTATGTAATTACACAGACAGGCAGGTGTGATACTTGAACACATGACATGTTATGATGTCTGTTGATTGTAAAATGTTATACACAAAAAATGAGCATGTATTTACAAAGCCCAACATCTCTATATGTACACACACAATGAGCCGTGAGGGCATCTGCAAATGAACCAGCCGTTACACTTGAGTGCACACCCACCAGCTCTGACTGGGTACGGTATCCCGGCTGCTTCGTTTCTTGGGAAGTAAACCCAAGTACACAATATTGCACTTTTGATTTGCGATTGTACGCTTATAATTTTGTTTTTATGTTTCTTCATAACCAGCAATGTATATTATATATCATGAATAAGTGATAATTGTGTTTTAATTATGTTTGATTTTTTGGTTGCATGTGACCTTTAAGTTTCGACTGACGTCACGAAGCTGTACTTTTGATGTACATACAATGCCACGCCTCTCTGACAAAAAAGTTCCGAATCTCTGCATTCATGCAAGTACACTATATATATATATATATATGGGTCATTTTCAAAATTGGTAGGATTTTCTGTAAATAAAAAAAACTCTGTTAACTTAAAAGGATTCTTTTGTGCTAGAGAACATATTTAGATGTTTACTAGTCAGTAAATGTGGTATATCATTAGTCTTGTCATTTTGAAATTTATATTTAGCCACATTTTAGGGTCAAAATTGGCAGATTTCCTCTGTCCGGACGTGACGGTCTGCAAATAAACAAACTAATTCATATTATGCCCATTAGGATTGAACAGGCATACTCAAACTGCATTTAATTTTATTTTAACTTAAAAAAGTTTTTTTTCTACAAATTGTAACATGCTTGTCCTGTGATTTTGTGTCCTGACCGTTACCAGTGTATGAAATTCCTGCAATAATTTCCCCCTTGAGCTGGATTGTAATTCTACTTCCTGTGTCTGCTTGAGCTAGCCCCTGTGCATGTGACAGCAGATGAAATAATGAAATTCAGCACATTTTGCAGAAAATTGACACCATCAAAAACGTATAAATGGTATGTGTCAACCTTAATTGTCCAGACCATTACCAATGTATTTTGTGTCAAATATATCTCTTTTTTTTTTTTAATTTCAATGGATATGTTGCCCAGAAATGGAAGAGGTGGAAGGCATGTCCTTTGAATCTTTTAGGGATCATTCATTTTTTTATTTTAGATTTACTTACAAATTGTCTTGACCGTTACTTTCCAAACCGTTACCATTCTGCAAAGTAACGGTTTGGACAGTCCTTATAACGGTCTGGACAAAATGATTTGTATTTCAAAAAGTTGTTCATTAATATTTGAAATATAACAAATTTATAATTACTTTAAGGGTTAAGATGAGTTTAAGCATGGAATTTTACTGTTCAAAGGAGTTTTGATGTAGTAGCATAAAAAACACAGTCTCTAGTAACGGTTTGGACAAATAATAATAACGGTCTGGACATGTCTTTAGTAAATTTCAATTTTAAAGAATATGTTCCATGGTGTGATAATAAGTTTCTATTTACTTATCTATCTGCTTTAAATAATAAAAACCAAAACGAATTTATCACGTTAAGTTTCTATTTTCTATAAGATCTATAGTCTTTATCAATTAAAGGTAACGGTTAGGACATCTATGGTAACAGTTTGGACAAAATGTAGTAACGGTAAACAACTTTCAGTATTCCAACCTTTACAGATTTTTTAGGTGTAAACTGATTTAACTTTAACTGTGAGATATGTAAGGCTACCATTTACTTTGAATATTTGCTAGGTGCTAATATGTTGGCCAAACCTTTGTATTTGATAAATATGTGTTACCATCTCACGATTAACAAAACTAAAGGTATCCGAGTGAATGAAAGAAGTATATTTCGTGGAGACTAATATTGCACCATAATATCAACAGCAAAATGATATCTATGCAGTGACCTGTGTAGCATGACCATGTGTACAGTATCATAGTTGTTGCAGTACCTTTCAGAATTTAATCTTTTGCAACTTTTTAGAGGGATAACATTTGTTTGTTACACTGATGTCCTGACCGTTACCAATAATGTCACAACCGTTACTATTCATTCAATTTTCGTTCCCCAATTGCACTCTTCTTTAGATTATAAGTGATTTTCAACCTAGACAGGGGTGTTTTTCTATTCTTTAGAAGCTACAGTTTGTTTTTATTCAAAAGCCTAAATTCATTCACAAGTTTCATATTGATATAACACATGTCCAAACCGTTACCACAGCGTGGAAGAAAACATGTCACATTTGTTACAAGTTACAATTTCTAATACACACTTCACTGTCTGTCCAAAATAGGGTTAGCAATTGAAGTAAATGATATTTTTTTTTACTTTCATGTTACCTGTTTCTATGTTGAATTAAATTGTTTAAGGTTTATGTCCAGCCGGTTACCATTCCTGTCCAAACCGTTACCACTATTGTCCTAACCGTTACTGGTGTTAATTGTCTGCTCTAATTAATTCATGATAATACATGAAACACTCCTCTTTATGCTGGTGTCATCAAAAGATGTTCTGGGCTTAGTAGCTGATGTTTATTTTAGACAATTTTACCTGTTGAAAGCTATATGCATAATAATGTTTTAGAAAAATGCAATTATTTTGTGGTAAAAAAATGAAAGATACAAAATAACACTTTCAAGATTCATGATAATAGTTTTTACCTTCAAGTTTGATTAAGTCGGTGTAAAAGCTGTGTATGCCATCTTTAAAAGATTTTTATGAATTATATTTCAAAATCCTTATTCTGATTAAGAAGTGGTAACTGTCAGTACTTTCCCTCACCCTATTAATTACTTATGTATCAATTAAAAGGCCAATTAGTAAATTTGAGCCTGCATGTTTGTATTATTGAATAATTAAGTATTTGAGATTTCATTTAAACAAAAACTAAATCAATTTTCAGGAGTTTGATATTACTGTAATAAAGAATTGAAAATCCTACCAATTTTGAAAATGACCCATCTGGTGAGGACATAAATCTAGTATTGTACAAGCTTATGGGTAAGAATTCTTGGTGTGAGAAGTGTACATTCTGTTTGTGCCTAAAATGAATCACTGTTAATGTGAATAATGGTTTTGTTCCTTTTTCAAATGTTTCAGGGCAGAGGTTCCTGTTAAATGGAGATATCTTAGGACTAGACAACTTGAGGCGAGTTCGTGTATTGACACAAGACCGACTTGGAACACTTAAGGGTATGTCAGTGTGTAACCATTGTCACAGGTAACTCTAACAAGATACTTGGGATTACACTAAATGCATGGTGCTGTTGAAGCCAGCTGTTTACTTCACCTTAAGATATTATCCTCTTGTAGTACCTGTAATGAACATCGCCTCCGTGGTGTAGTGGTTAGAGCGTCCGCCCGGAGAGCGGAATGTTGCGGGTTAGATCCCCTACCACGTCATACCAAAAGACGTTAAAATATGGTACTTGGTCCCTGCCTGGCGCTCGGCATTAATGGGTACAACAAGGACTGGTCGGCTTGGAGTCAGTATAATGTGTCTGAGTGGGGTATTCATGCTTCACTGTGGCATGGTATCTCAGTGGGCTAGCACTATAAAACCAGCCTCAGTCTGGGCTAGTAGAAGCAGCCGCACATACACATACACACACATGCACGTCGTCATATGAGCGAAATATTCTCCAGCGCGACGTTAAACCCAATTTCACCTCACCTGTAGTGAATCTTGACAGATATATGACATCTGGATCTGCTGGCTTTATGTCCCAAGTGCTGGGATCCTTAGTGTTGCGAAGTATTAACTGATGTTTGTTGCTGGGATCCTGTAGTGTTGCGAAGTATTAACTGATGTTTGTTGCTGGGATCCTGTAGTGTTGCGAAGTATTAACTGATGTTTGTTGCTGGGATCCTGTAGTGTTGCGAAGTATTAACTATTAACTGGGATCCTGATGTTTGTTGCTGGGATCCTGTAGTGTTGCGAAGTATTAACTGATGTTGTTGCTTGCTGGTTTGATCCTGTATTAACTGATTTTGTTGCTGGGATCCTGTAGTGTTGCGAAGTATTAACTGATGTTTGTTGCTGGGATCCTGTAGTGTTGCGAAGTATTAACTGATGTTTGTTGCTGGGATCCTGTAGTGTTGCGAAGTATTAACTGATGTTTGTTGCTGGGATCCTGTAGTGTTGCGAAGTATTAACTGATGTTTGTTGCTGGGATCCTGTAGTGTTGCGAAGTATTAACTGATGTTTGTTGCTGGGATCCTGTAGTGTTGCGATTAACTGATGTTTAACTGATGTTTGTTTGCTGCTGGATCCTGTAGTGTTAACTGATGTTTGTTGCTGGGATCCTGTAAGTATTAACTGATGTTTGTTGCTGGGATCCTGTAGTGTTGATGTTTGTTGCTGGGATGTTTGTTGCTGCTGGATCCTGTAGTGTTGCGAAGTATTAACTGATGTTTGTTGCTATGGTGGTTCCAGGAAGTTTTATGGAACGTATGAAGAATCTAACAGCTAGAGAAGGTCAGACGATATTTACAGAGGATTTGAAGACAACAGTAGCCGTTACAGAAACTGATGAAGATCTAGAGACACTAGTAGCCATGTTGAAAAGGTAGGGCAGACTTTTAATGACATTTAATGACAAATAAATCTTCCTGTCAAATGATGCTGGTACTCGTCAGCAAAGATGGTTATTGAAGTCTTGGTAAGTTTACAGGGTTTTTGTCTGTACTTGGATGCAGTGGTTTCCTGTAAGAGAGTGGCAGGGTTGACTCTGATTCTGTGTGATGTTGCAGGTTTTGTGCAGACCGGGCTCAGGACACAGAGGATTCCCCCCGACCATACTGCTTTGGTCCACCAGTGTTACGTTTGCTGCATATCAGAAATGAAGTAGATAAAGCAGTGGAACTTTATCAAGATGAGGTGAGAAACACTTGCTGTCAACCATCGTTTCCCAGTTATTTTGCCCATGATGTCTTATCAAAACCAGACGTTTGGTGATCTGATAGAAAACTGATAAAGAATGAGTATTGCCTGATTGTGTTTAAGATTTGATATGTGAGGAATAGTCAAGAATGATCAGTGCAATGAAGATATCGTGTTGGAGAAGATGAAAAGAAAAAGAGTTGCTTCCCTTCCCACATTGGCCTGTGTGAAGTCAGGTATTGGCAGTAGAAATGCAAGTGTTAAGTCCATGTATTCACAGAAAGTGACCTTTCCTGAATATCACGTCTAATCCTGAATTTGTCAGTAGACCGATGTGCTTGTCAATGTTTTGTTCCAGATATAGTAGAGGGAAGATACATATGTTTACACACAAGGAATAACTGTTTGAGCATGTTTAGTATGACCCTTACCAATATTCAGCTCATCAAACATTGTCTGTGGTCGCAATTATATCTGTACATTGTAAGACATCTTATCTGAAGCAGCATGGTGGAACTTGGCCTGGATGGCCCCACATATGGCATTTGGCATTGTAGCAGTACCTTTTTTAATATAACTTTTCAGGATCAGGATGTGTGGAAAGTCTGTAAACTTTGAGGACTTGTATGAAACACACATAGAAAGTATCAAATTGTATAACTGTATACAACTGGAGGAAGAAATGATTGACGTTACTACTCACTGTCAATCATATGCCCTGGAGCATGGTGTCTGTAATACGCTGGCAATGGCCATACAAGCTGGTAGTGTGGTTGTTGAGTGTATGTTGTGTTGTTGCAGAGTCTGAGAAGTCTGTTTGACAACATCTCCAGCTACATGCTCATCATGGACATGCTGTACAAAAAGGGTCGCTACCCAGAGGTGGTCGAGTACTACAAACAGCTGAGGGAGTTTGGCGGTGATGACTTCCGATACCCCATCAACTGCATGACCTTGTTGTTTGCTTCATTATATAAAATGGTATGTTGATAATTTACTTATCATCTTGAGACATACACTGCTTTAAGTCAATCTCAATCGCCAGTATGTAGGTGGATTGTTGTTTTGGGTCTAGCATCCTTAGGCCCCCCCCCAAAATGTCCATTTACGGTAACCCAACCGACCCTATCCAAACCCCCCCGACCCTAAATCTTTTTTTAACCAAGTCAATATCATGACTGGAGTGCATTTCAACTCATCATTTTCATCCAAATCGAGTATGATATTTTCATGTTTATCAGTGTACGTAGGGCTAAAATGGATTGCATTGAATTGGCATAATGGGTCCTCACTGACCAAATCTGCAGATAAATAACATAAATAATGATTTGATATAGAAATCTTACAATGTTTAATCATAATGCATTGTCACTACATGATATGGTACTCTTGAAGACCTCAGGTGCCCACCTGGTACCACTAGGAAATAGAAAAAAAAGGTAAAAAAAAGAAGATAAAACCGACCCACCTACCCTATTTTTAAAAAGCATGTTTTGGGAAATGGACATATATTTTTGTTTGGCCTTAGAGGTACACTGCTATGATGAAGCTCAAATTGATCTGGATGGTCATGAAAGGTTATCCAGGAATATCTCTCCTTCGCTGCTATGGAGTTCTAAAATGATATCTAATTTTTAGACTTATCCTATCTCACGACTTGCACCTCTCTCTCTTCCATAGACTTTAAGTGGAACGACTGTAAACTTTTTTCCATAGGCCTCCTTGTCCATTCGCCCGTGCACTCCATGCTGCTCTCCTGAATTATCTTCTTATAGTTTGGCATGAAATGCATGTGGACCCGTTTTTTTGTAAATATCTCTTCATCAAATGACCCAATCGATCTCAAACTGTGCAAGTGGATGTTTTGTCAGACAACCTAATCACATTGTAAATCACTGATTTTTATCCCCAGCAACGCGTTTTGCGGGGGGTATTAAAATGGACTCCGTCCGTCCCTGCACATTTGTCTGTCCGTCAGTCCGTCCGTGCACATTTGTCTTTTCCGGAGCAGAACTCTAACACCATTCATTATTTCTTTTCCAAACTTGGCACATAGATAGATCTGGTGATGTACTTGTGCCTTTTGGTAGTTTTGGAATTCTGAATAAAATATTTTTGGCGTTTCCATGGCAACAAGTTTGACTTTGACTGAAATTGGTGGTAGTGCTCTTTTCTGGAGCTGAACTCTAAAACCGTTCAATATGTCGTCACCAAACTTGGCACATAGATAGATCTGGTGGTGTACTGGTGCCTTTTGGTAGTTTTGGAATTCTGAATTAAATATTTTTGGCGTTTCCATGGCAACAAGTTCGACTTAGACTGAAATTGGTGGAAGTGCTCTTTTCCGGAGCAGAACTCTAAAACCGTTCAATATGTCATCACCAAACTTGGCACATAGATAGATCTGGTGGTGTACTTGTGCCTTTTGGTAGTTTTGGAATTCTGATCCAGATCACGTTATAGATCCAGATCACGATCACAGTTTCCAGTTAGTGCATCGAATCGATCCAGATCACTTTACAAAACCAGATCATCTTACTAACCCAGGTCACCTATACGATCTAGATCACCTTACAGAGCCATTGACCAATCGGGATCACAGTACAGATACACATCTCATGGCCGATCCTATTCAGATGGTCGAACCAGAGCTCCAATCAGAAGCAGATCACCAACTAGAACTACATCGACCCCGGACTAGTTCTTCATATCATACCGGATCACCTAGCCATACTAGGGAATCCAGATCACTAGCTTACCACCTACTTCGGTACTTACCACGTCGAGAACTCGATACAGTTCCTCTGACTGACGTTCAGGTGATCATTGCTCTGATACCACTAATACGCCTACAGTCTCTTACGATGTTCCGTCTACACGCTCTGAGAATCCTTCGACTCACTCTAGGATCATCGCTGAGTCATGGGAACCTGATAACAATCCCACTCCTACAGCGACTACGGATCTAAATATGATGATCAGGGCCATAACCTCAGCCTGGAACCAAATACAGCCTTCTACTCCAGCCCATCCGGATTCGGTAGCTCCTGGCTCTTCATCTGGTCCACCTCCTGAGATTGATCCAGTCCAAATAGCCATGCCTGCATCTCCCGCTCACTCTGAGTTATCTACCCCTGGGGGTAGCTTTGCAGCAGTTGAGACACTTCAGGTACTCCTTTGGATTGGTGAGAAGCTCCAACTTCCCTTGAGTACTTCAGCAGATGACCTGGATCACTCCTTACATCCTAGGAACCGGGATTGGTCTACCATCACCCTACCACCTCAACGTTGTATTCTGAAATTATCCAGTACACTAAATGATGGTTTCAAAGCCTGAAACGAATTAAGGAATGATTCTCTGCTCCCAGATATAATCCGTCTACCTCTCATGTCCATGGCCTAACAAAAATCTCTACGGCTCCAACAGTTGATGAGGATATTGGAACCCTGTGTGGCAAACGAGCTGCTTCGCCCTACCTTATTGAGGATCGAGAGTTGGCTCACATGGATTCAGCCGTGAGAAAGACGTTGCCATCTATTAGTTGTGTGATTGCAGCAGTTGACGCTGTGAACTCTGCTCTGGAGCATACTTATTCTGATAAAGATGCTTACATCCGAGGATGCATGACTTTAGCTCTGGACCAGTTCCAAATTATCCTGGATCAGTTGTCTCATTTTTTGGGCTACACTCTTGCTGTTCACCGACGTGCACCTCTTAACATCTGTTCATGGGAGGAGCGATTTAAAACAGAACTGTTTCTCCAGCCTTGGTTTACTGACTCCCTCTTCAATGCTAGCATCCAAGAAGTATCTACTAAAGTTGATAAAGAAACCCATATTTTTCCTTATCCTGACTCATGCTCTTTTTGCTTGTCTTCTTCTTCTTGCGAACATAGTGGAACACTTGTATCTCCCTAATTGAATCTCCCTTCAATTTAAAATCACTAATCAATACTCACCAAGAGTTGCCTCTCTTTGCCCCTTTTGGCGGGAAAGGTGGCGCCTCCACATCCCACATGCTTCACTCTCTCCTTCTTCGCCAAGTGAGCAGGATGTGAGAGCGCCTGTGTCTCCCTACGGCACTATATCCTTTGATTATTCTTAGTAATTACCTTATAGAGGTTTAGCTAGTATCCTTCAACAATATGTTTTGATAATTATCTGTATTTACTGCTGTTTATTCGCGGTGTATTCCGTGTTTGTTCAGTAGGTTACGTTCATGAAAAATTCTGTACTGTTTGCAAATTACGTTTTTCTGCTGCTGATCCGCATTTAATATGCCCTAGCTGTACTGTACCATGTTCTTTCAGTTCAGGTTGCAGTTTTTGCAATAATTTATATAATTCTGCATTTAACAAATATTTACTTTGCGTCTTGTGACGCACAGCAGAAAGGTCACGTAACCTATATCCAGGCATGGATATGCGGCTGAATCCCTCTCAAGTCAACTGCTGTCGGATGATCCCCTCCCGTCTGGTGTTCCGCTGGAGTTCTCTTGGAGGAGAGGCGTGGGATGCAGTCCGCCGTCTCCAAGAAGCGACCTGCATCACCAGACATCCAGTCGTCGCAGTCTAGACTAAGAGGGCATCTACATCTCAGCGCAGACTCCGCACCCCCAGGGCAGCGTCTACCACCAAGGGCAAGCCAGCGCAGACGGCACGAACTTTCTCGGCCGAGATTGTTTTTTTTTGATTGAAACATATTTTATTCAATTAAGAAACGGATTGGGCACAAGTTATCCAACTTAAATAAGCCCTCTCCACATAGTTACAAGTGTATATTACAACAAGAGGCAGACAAAGGGTATAGATATGTACAGACAGAGTTATTTAAATCGTTTAGTGTTATGGATGTAGATATGTACACTTTTAAAAACATTTTGATTTTCGCTAAGCGAGAGACCTGCATTGCCATTTAAGATGAGATTAATATCAATACATGCTCTATTATTCACTATATTTTCTAAAGAGGTTAACATTTGTTCTCTTTGAATTATATATAATGGACATTCAAAAAAATAATGAAAAGCATTTTCACAATTATGGCCACACTGACAAAGTGCATCATTTCTAACATTAATTCTGAATAAATCATAATTAAGTGTACTTGTCATATATCTTAATCTTGTATGCAAAACATTTAGTTTCCTTTTCCCATATGAGAAATATACGGGTGCACATTTTTGTTTCACTTGAACTGCAGTTTTAAAAGACACAACAGATTTACAGTTTCTGATAGCTAAGGTGATGTTATTCCACAGTTTAATTGTTGATGGAAAAAAGGATAGAGTCGAATATCGTAGTCTTGTACAGGGTTGAGTGTAATTACTGGAGTTTCTTAATTCATAATTTTGCCGAGATTGTTCCCGTCGCAGAACAGGGCCTGTATGATGAGCAGCCGCTCATCATTCCCGAGGTTCATCACAAGAAACGACCGGTATCAGCTACAGTGATGTCAGCGCAGATCCACAATCAGCTCGATGTATCAACGCTGATGACTGATGATCTTCCCATGGGTCCCGTCGCCACCAATGCAGATAGGGCAGCGTCTACAACTTCGCAGACGATGTATAGACACCATCCTCTACCCAGAGAAGGCTACACACCCCTTAGATGAAGACAACTCTACGGGGACGTCTGCGCAGACTACAAGAACTTTCTCTGCCGAGATTGTTCCGTTGGCGGTACAGGGACTCTCCGATGATCAACCGATCATCTTCCCAGAGGTTCATCACAAGTAACGACCAGTCACCTTTGGTGACTTCAGCGCAGATCTCCACGGTACCGGTATCTCACGATGACAACAGATGGCGTCCTGTGGACCCTGTGGACCACGCTATCAGCAACGCAGAAAGGGCAGCTACTACTACCACCGCAGACCTTCAAACCGGGGGACTTTATGCAGGAGATGATCAGCGTTATGGCCTAGAGAAGAAGTCACAGCCCACAACGAGGTCCTCAACCATCCCCTGAGCCTTCAGC